ACTGTCACAAAAATTATTATGGTCACGAAATAAGAAGACAGAACAATTATTCTGGATAATCTAAATGTCAGCATGAAATACAGCCGTTAAAAAATAAGGCCCAACTCGAATTTGCCAATATAGCTAATATGTGTGTGGACTCTGGACTACTATTCCCTTCTACATAGATTATTTTATGGCTGAATCTGACAAATCCCTGAATTAATCCACCTCTTTATGAAGTTGCCATGCGTAATATAATAGATTCTATGTCTGAGGGAGGAGGCAGAAAGTGAAGCAGCCCTTTCAAAACCCAGAGTAAATGTCTGGAAGATAAACCTGCCCAGGCAATCGCTAAAGAATCTGCTCATAGCTGTCAAGTGTCCCTTATTTGAAGGGACAGTCCCTTATTCCAGCGCCATGTCCCGCTGCTGTCCCTTATTGATAGATGTCCCTTAAATGTCCCTTAAATCATGTCCCTTAAATCATGTCCCTTAAATTTCAAAGGAAGCAGCTCCTCTCCCTCCCTCCCTGCCGGCCAGGGAGGAGGGAGGCTCCAACTGTGTTGCTTGGCTGCGTTGCTCACCCAATAAGAAGTCTAAGAACGACTGGGGGGTGGAGCTTGCATGCCTTGTGTGTGGCTAGTTAATGCAAGCTGAGGGGGGTTTTGAATGCTGGACGCCATTTTGTTGCACGTGCTGCTGCAAACTTTGCAGTGCAAAGCCAGGCCGGGGAGCCATCTTAAGCTGAGGCTGCATAGGCCTTGTGGTGCATGTGATTCAGATTCTATTCAGTTGAACCTCTGGTTACAAAGTTGGTTCGACAGTGTTCTCGAAGCTACCAGCATGAGTTTGACCAGACTGCAGGAGGACAGGAAGACTGGAGTGCCTGGAACAGGTGAGGCTGCAGGTCCCTTATTTTGGCTGCTGGTCCCTTATTTTCAAGGCTGCTGGTCCCTTATTTTCAAATCTGTAAGTTGACAGCTATGAATCTGCTGTGTGAAAATGTTTGGAAGGTAAAGGTCATAGCTCTTTCCATCACTGGGGGAGCAGGATGAGGAATGCAAAAGCCTAAGGAATAGCCCTAATGAAGCTGCTGAGAGAATAAATTAATTTGTACTACAGTGGAACCTTGGTTCTCAGACTTAATCCATTCCAGCAGTCCATTCCAAAACCAAAATGTTCCAAAACCAAAGCGCACTTTCCCATAGAAAGTAATGCAAAACGGATTAATCCGTTCCAGACTTTTAAAAACAACCCCTAAAACAGCAATTTAACGTGAATTTTACTATCTAACGAGACCATTGATCCATAAAATGAAAGCAATAATCAATGTGCTGTACTGTAAAATAAATAAGACAGTATTGTATATGATAATTAAAAAAAAAAATTCAATACCTGCACTGATGATATCCTGATTTTATCCATTTCCGCAGTCACACAATCAATCAATCAATCAATCAGTGGCTGAACTGGGTTGCACACAGTCACAAAAACAAATTAACTGGAAAAGCCTCAAAAACAAAAACGCAAAATAAATAGCAAAAACAAAAACCCCAAACTTTTTCTCTGCTGCCTTCTACTTAAAGCGCCTTTGTTTTGTTTTGGTATGAACTCTCTAGTTCATGAATCAAATAAGTTGTAATTAAGTAGCAAATCAGTTGCTTGTATTTGCTGTTCAAGAAGTTCATATGTAAAGCATTACATCTGATTTTGTTATTAATCAATGGAACGCAGGATTTTATTTATTAGATTTCTATACCACTTTATATTTTTAGTGAAAATGTCAAAGCGGTTTACAGCATATTAAATGAATAAAACAATAAAACAATAGCCGGGCGATGTTCCTCCGGCCTCATGAGGAGCCTCTTCAGTGGGACTGGGTGAGTGTGGGCCAGGTGGAAAGGAACCAGGAATGGGAGCAGTGTGTATAAAATATTGAATGGAATAGGGTTATTAAGGTAATTGTATCAGAATTATTATGGGAATGTTAAGGAGGAAGAGGGGGAAAGGGAGAGTGTGGAATTCTGGTGGTGGGTGGTGATTGGATGAGGATTTGAAAGGGAGTTTGAATGTGGGACACGGGTGGCGCTGTGGATTAAACCACAGAGCCCACAGAACCTAGGACTTGCCGATCAGAAGGTCGGTGGTTCGAATCCCTGTGACGGGGTGAGCTCCCATTGCTCGGTCCCTGCTCCTGCCAACCTAGCAGTTCGAAAGCACATCAAAGTGCAAGTAGATAAATAGGTACTGCTCTGGCAGGAAGGTAAATGGCGTTTCCGTGCGCTGCTCTGGTTCGCCAGAAGCGGCTTAGTCATGCTGGCCACATGACCCGGAAGCTGTACACCGGCTCCCTCGGCCAATAAAGCGAGATGAGCGCCGCAACCCCAGAGTCGGCCACGACTGGACCTAATGGTCAGGGGTCCCTTTACCTTTACCTTTACCTTGAATGTGAGGCAGTTGAGAGTCAGTTGAGAGCGGTGGGTTCTGCCTGTCATGCTGAACAAGGAAGGTAAAGCTGGGACGAACGTGATGCCTCAAGAAACCCTAAACCCCTTTCCATCTTGAACAAACCCAGTGGAATCAGATTTCCATGAAATCAACTCTGAAGGCCAACCAAGCCTGCGCCTGTTTCCCTCCCCGAGTTTACTGAGTAGTTTGAGCCCCCTAGAGGTGTGTCTGGAAACTTTTGCCTTCCAGATGTGGCTGAACCACAACTCCCATCATCCCTGCCCACTGGCCCCATTTGCTTGGGCTGATGGGAGTTGTAGTTTGGCCACATCTGAAGGGCTAGAGGTGCCCCAAGGCTGGCTAAGAGGAGCTCCAAGGTTTGCAGAAGTACAGAATAAGAATGATTTAAAAAACCCAAAGGGGAGGAACCCCCAAACCAGCCTAATGAGAACTGAGTGTGACTCTGGAACTTGAACTCGCTCCCACAGAAGGCAGTGATGGCCACTGATTTTGATGGCTTTAGAAGAGGATGAGAGGAATTGTAGATCTGTGGGGCAAATAGGGACCTCCTAACAACTCTTGCTCCCTTTATTAAACGGTAGTTCTGACGATCCTTTGAGGGGAGCCATGTTTAAAATGGGGTGATCCTGCCATACACACACAGTGCAGATATGGCCTTCTGAGATTCGTCTAGCTCCAAGAAGGCTCTAGCTATGTTATGTACTGAGTTGAATAGGATCCAGAATGCAGCAGTCTGATTGGTCCACAGGAGCCACTCAATCCAGCTCCAGATGGAAGTGAATCTGCAACCTGATTGGCCTACAGGGGAATCCCAGAATTAGCCAATCATGTGAGGCCCATTGTGTAAATAATGTATATAAAGCAGACATTCTGGGGGAACTTCCATTCCTCCTCACCAGTATGAGCTGAATAAAGAGCATGAAATCCACTCTCGACTCTGAGTATATTTCAAGCTAGGAAGCCAACTTTTTGCGTACCAAAAGCCAGCCAGCCCAGGGCCACCCAGACGAGGGTTAGCCAGGATCCATTTGATTGCAGGATTCAGATCCATATTGGGATAGAGGTCAGCAGGGGCTGCTATCAAGGACCTCTCAGCTCACGATGGGGGAAATAGACCCCAACTCACCCACAGCCTTTCCATTGCAGCTATGCTGAAGGAAACAACACAAGAAAAGAATCTGTGTGTGTGTGTGTGTGTGTGTGTGAGAGAGAGAGAGAGAGAGAGAGAGAGAGAGAGAGAGAGTGTGTTCACTGCCCTCAAACATCCCCCCAATTGAATGGAATGAGTTTGGGCTTGGCTGGGTGGAGTTTACAAAAACTTTTATAGTTGAAGTGAAAAGGGACAAGAATTGTTTAATGGTTCCCTTTTTTTGCATTTGTTTAAAAACCAATAAAAAAAGTTGTTAAAAAAATAGGGAGGGAAGAATGGCGTCTATTTAACTCCCCAGACCAACAAAAGGAAGAAAAAACCAGAAGAGAAATGTCTAAACCAATAGAGGGTTTTCAGAACTGTTTCAGAAAATTAGTCCAAAAACAGGCAAATGTGGCCATTCATTTTACCTACAAACCTAGAACGCCAGGCTGCCAGCTGACATTTTGGGCCAGCCGGGCCCTTTCCCCTCACCTCCTCCTGTGAGAGGATATTTATTTGCCAGGCTCCATGTGGACTTTCAAGAAGTCCCTGGAAAAATTGATCAATATCTTAGTGCATTTCCCCCCTAATACACACCCACCCACCCTCTGTATGTCATTTTGCCAAATATACACCTTTTTGCAATGCCATTTCCCTAAAACAATGCCTTTGCGCAGGTTGTTTTCCCAAATACGTGCATTTCCACCTCCTTGTCGTCGTCGTAGTTACAGCATCTGCATTCTTAAATAGACCTTTGTGTACTGTTTTAATTCTATGAGTGTTCGATTACTTTTTAATGATCACCTATTTAAAAAAAAATTAGAGGCAGATTCTACTAATTCTACTGCTACAGCTTAAAGAATTGTGAACGTCGTTTGAAATTGTCGGATCTATCGCTGCTCCTCGGAGGACTCCAAAGCCCCGCAATTGATACAATTGTTAGCTTTGCTCAAGTCATTTGGGCTGATCCAACATCTTGTTTTCTGACCATGGGGAATACTTCCCTTCCTCTGGGGTTTCCGAGATCTCAGCAACCATGGCCCGCTCGCAATTATGCCAGTTTTGCAGCCATGTGGCCTAGAAACTTGATTCAAATACAAAAACGAAATCCCGCACCCAATGTACGGCTTTACGGGTGGCATGCCTGGAGACAGCATGCCTTGTCGGGAACAGGTAGGTCCTACCTTTTGTCTGCTGTGATGCCAGCGAGATGTCCCAGGTTAAAGGTTCGGGAACTGAGACTCCCCTCTCAAACCAATTCACCGCTTCCATTAACTTGGACTGTCTGCTTCTTCGCTCCTGCTGTTTGGTTAGACTCCTGGAGAGGAGGGGCCGGCTCCTTCGCCCCCACCCACCCACCCACTCCACCTCCATTGCCGTAGGTGGAGCACTTAAATCCCTGATAAGGTGCAGACTTTGAGATAAAAGGAAGAGAAGGCCCCTTGAATCACGACTGCTGCAGAGTCCGTCTGGAAGAGGGGTGGGAAAGAATAGCAGGTCAAAGAGTGTGTAGAGGGGTACCTCAGCATCCATCTCTAAATCCTCCATCTTTCTGGGAGTGGGTGGACTAATCCGTCCACATGGAGGACCTCAAAACGTTTGCTACGGAGGCACTGGAAGATTTTGCCCAATTTATGCCCGGCACCCACCAGCCTCCTTTGGGGGGCTCCAGGTTCTCCATCGGCAACTGCCTGCCTCCGAACTCAATGCTGGGATGCTACCCAGGGGCATTCCCAGGCCCAGCAGAGCTGCCCGCCTACCCCCAGGAGAACTTCAGGAACGGGGTGGCCCACGCAGAGTGGTACTCCTCTGGCACCGCGGACGGACCCTACCCTTCATGTAAGTGATGCACCCTCTCAGCTACTCTTCATGTAAGTGATGTACACCAAAGTGCTGGTGTTGACCTTTAAAGCCCTAAACGGCCTCGGCCCAGTATATCTGAAGGAGCGTCTCCACCCCCATCGTTCTGCCCGGACACTGAGGTCCAGCGCTGAGGGCCTTCTGGCGGTTCCCTCATTGCGAGAAGCAAAGCTACAGGGAACCAGGCGGAGGGCCTTCTCGGTGGTGGCGCCCGCCCTGTGGAACGCCCTCCCACCAGATGTCAAAGGGATAAACAACTACCTGACATTCAGAAGACAGAAGTTTATAATGTGTGGCATTTTAATGTATTTTTAATCTTTGTTGGAAGCCGCCCAGAGTGGCTGGAGAAACCCAGCCAGATGGGCGGGGTACAAATAGTAAATAATTACTATTATTATTATTATTATTATTAGCTGTCAGATGGGTTGCTGTTGTTACTTTTGCAAGCAAAATGTCTGTAGGGCAACTTGTGTGGGGCTGTCAGCGGGCTTCTGAACTGCCAAGTGGTGGAATAATGCTCTCGGAGGAGGCTGCCCGTCGCACCCCTGCAGGAGTTACGAACATGAGAAGAGCCTGTAGCTGGATCACCCAATGGCCCACCTAGTCCGGTGTTCTGTTCTCGCAGTGGCCTGCTAGATGCCTGCGGGAAACCTGAGAGCGAAACCTGAGCGGGACTCTTCCCTCCTGGTATTCACATCTGAGTGTGGAGCAGAGCAGAGCCCTCAGGTCTAGTAGCCGTCGATAGATTTCTTCATGAATCTGTCCAATTCTCTTTTTAAAGCCATCCAAGTTTGTGGCTGTCCCTGCCTCTTGTGTCGGGGAGTTCCACAGTTGAACTAGGCTCTGCGTGAAGAAGGGCTTTCTTTTATCTGTCTTAAATCTTCCAGCTTCGCCCTGGGCTTGCCACCTTCCAACCAGGAATGGGGCCTAGGCTCGATGTGGCAGGGAATGCCTCTTACACACTCAAAAAGTCAACCCCCTATTTTTGAAACTACAATTTTAATCCTCCTGCTATCAGAAGTTTGGGGAACCCTGCACTGGAACGGGTCAGAATGTCGGAAAGGTTGTTATTATGTACGGAGGGAGTGTGGTGTAGTGGTTAGACTTTTAGACCAAAGAGTCCTGGTTGCTCACTGGGTGACCTTGAAAAATAGCTGTCAACTTTTCCATTTTCTTGTGAGGAATCCTATTCGGAATAAGGGAATTTCCCTTTAAAAAAGGGAAACGTTGACAGCTATGCCTTGTACAGAGATAGACCAATGGTCTAGCTCAGTAAAGTCTACACAGGTTGGCAGCAGCAGCAGCGCTCCGCAGATTCTGCTTGCAAAGCCTGCACTCTAGCACTGATCTATGGCCCATCCTCTGCCTGCACCTAGCCTTCCTCGCAAGGTCGTTGTGAGGACAGAAAGCACTCTGTGCTCCTTGGAAGAAAAGTTAGGACAACCCGATAGATTACAAATATACATTACAGTGGTACTTTGAGTTACAGACGCTTCAGGTTACAGACGCTTCAGGCTACAGACTCCGCTAACCCAGAAATAGTACCTCGGGTTAAGAACTTTGCTTCAGGATGAGAACAGAAATCGTGCGGCGTCAGCGGGAGGCCCCATTAGCTAAAGTGCTACCTCAGGTTAAGAACAGTTTCAGGTTAAGAAAAGACCTCCAGAACGAATTACCATATTTTTCGCTCTATAAGACGCACCAGACCACAAGACGCACCTAGTTTTTGGAGGAGGAAAACAAGAAAAAAAATATTCTGAATCTCAGGAGCCAGAACAGCAAGAGGGATCGCTGCGCAGTGAAAGCAGCAATCCCTCTTGCTGTTCTGGCTTCTGGGATAGCTGCGCAGCCTGCATTCGCTCCATAAGACGCACACACATTTCCCCTTACTTTTTAGGAGGGAAAAAGTGAGTCTTATAGAGCAAAAAATACGGTAAGTTCTTAACCTGAGGTACCACTGTATTGTACACAACCAAATCTTATATAATAAAATCAGAGTCATTGTCCTCATGTCTATTTGTATGTAGTCAGAACAGCCCCTTTCGTCACCCAAGAGGGAAGTATCAGTGGGCTTGGGGGAACCCCAGATTTGTGGGGAAACACATTAAGGGGGACCCTCACCCCCCAAATACCCAGCCCTATGACAACTGAGCATGCTCAGTGGCTTGGGATGCTGATTGTGGGTTTTGCAAATGGGAAGAAACCGAATGGAGTGGAGAATTTCACTTTGGATAGCTCAATCGGTAGAGCACGGGACTCTTAACCTCAGGGTCGTGGGTTTGAGCCCCTCGTTCTGCAAAAGATTCCTGCGTGGCAGGGGGTTGGATCAGATGACCTTTGGGGTCCCTTCCAACTCTACAATCTATGAAATAAAACATATTCTTTCCCAGAAAGAACCGGGCCGGTAGAGCTACAATTCCCAGGGATATTTGGGCGAAATAATATCAGCTTTTGTCCTGGTTCCCCAGAGTCATCTGGCTGGCCGCTGTGAGAACAGAATGCTGGACTTGGCCTGATCCTGCAGCCAGGCTCTTCTTGTGTTCTTACCTTTTTAGTGAAAGTCCAGTATCCCTCGCATTGGAAAATGGCGTCAGAGTTTTGCCGGCAGAAAACCCATTTGGTCCAGCATCCTGTCCTTACAGATCCACAGTATATTCAGTGCACGCTTAAAGCACCGAGTTCCCCCAAAGAATGGAGCTAAGATTTCCTTGACCTACTGATTACAGGATTATTTGGCAGAAGTTGTGCGTTTTTAAGGTGCGCTGAATATGAATATATGGCGTTGTCAGCACCGCATGCTAACCAGCCGAGCTAAAATGAGGACCGGGCTTTTGATCGCCGGATCAAGGGCATCACGTTTGTTGAATTAACCAAACTAAAAATCTTTCGCTCTATAAGATGCACCAGACCATAAGACGCACCTAGTTGTTGGAGGAGGAAAACAAGAAAAAAAATATTCTGAATCCCAGAAGCCAGAACAGCAAGAGGGATCGCTGTGCAGCGAAAGCAGCGATTCCTCTTGCTGTTCTGGCTTCTGGGATAGCTGCGCAGCCTGCATTCGCTCCATAAGATGCACACACATTTCCCCTTACTTTTTAGGAGGGAAAAAGTGAGTCTTATAGAGCAAAAAATACGTAGATTTTGAAAAGTTGCACAATTAGTTGTTGTTTTGAATTTTATTGTGCTTCCTTGGTGGGTCATGCAAACTGCTATTCCGAACAATGCTTTTACTGGGCAGGGGTCACTGCGGATGAATTTATGGGACTAAGAAAGTGACCGTCTGAAAAAAACGAGGAACCGCTGCTTTAAATGTATAGTGTGGATCTGCAAGGATCCACATGCTACAGAGAGCTCCCCCACCACCCAAAAATGGGACTTTGCATTTTATTATTATTATTTTATTATTTATTCGGTTTCTATACCGCCTTCAGCTGAAGATCTCAGGTTGGTTCACAAGATAAAAAGACAGTCGTACCTTGGATCCCAAACGCCTTGGAACTCGGACGTTTCGGCTCCCGAACGCTGCAAACCCGGAAGTGATTGTTCCGGTTTGCAAACATTCTTTTGGAACCTGAACATCTGACGGGGCTTCTTCTGATTGGCTGCAGGAGTTTCCTGCAGCCAATTAGAAGCCATGATTTGGTTTTGGAACGTTTTAGAAGTCTAACGGACTTCCGGAACAGATTCCGTTTGACTTCCAAGGTACGACTGATAATTTTTGATTCTCAATGACAGCCTGACTCGCTCTCATTCTTTCCTCCTCCCCCCCCCCCAGTCCCCAGGTATGTGGGGACATCGGGGTTCAGCGTCGCCGGAGCCGACTGCCTGGGCTACATTGGCGAGGTGATCAAGCCACCCTCCTTCTTCACCGGGAACCCGTCCAAAAGGAAGCGCCGGGTGCTGTTCACCCGGGCCCAGGTTCACGAGCTGGAGAAGAGGTTCGAGCTGCAGAGGTACCTGACAGCCCCAGAGCGTGAACACTTGGCCACGGTCACCCGCCTCACCCCCAACCAGGTGAAGATCTGGTTCCAGAACCACCGGTACAAGATGAAGAAGCAAGGCAAGCAACAGGACCCCAAGGCCGACCCGGGGCAGGAAGCACACCGAACCTGCGACAACGGCGTGGTTCCGCCACACCCAGGGGGTTACGGTTTTGCCGGGTCTCTGATGGAGGAGAAGTCCTTGTTAGGGTCTCCTTATCCCTTCCCCGGACTCGCACCCAGCACCCAGAGCTTATCCGCCAGCCCCAGTTCCAGCGCCGACTCTCAGCCCGGCACAAAGGCTGCCGAAAACAGGCTTGCGTTCAGCAAGCCGTGGTAGCCAATGGAAGGGGAGCGAGATTGGACCATTTGATGGCATGAGAGGCCGTGCTGTGTGCCTGACAGCCCAAGCAAGCGGCTGCCTTGTCTTGTCACACCGGTAGCACACAGTGGACGGAGGCATCAGATGTGACTTGTGTGCCGTCAGGCTGGCCGCTCTGAAACCAGCTCAGATTTGCTTTTGTGCTGTGGGTTAAACCACAGAGCCTAGGACTTGCTGATCAGAAGGTCGGCGGTTCAAATCCCCGCGACGGGGTGAGCTCCCGTTGCTCCGTCCCTGCTCCTGCCAACCTAGCAGTTCGAAAGCACCTCAAAGTGCAAGTAGATAAATAGGTACCGCTCCGGCAGGAAGGTAAACGGTGTTTCCGTGCGCTGCTCTGGTTCGCCAGAAGCGGCTTAGTCATGCTGGCCACATGACCTGGAAGCTGGACGCCGGCTCCCTCGGCCAATAAAGCGAGATGAGCGCCGCAACCCCAGAGTCGGCCACGACTGGACCTAATGGTCAGGGGTCCATTTACCTTTACTTTACCAGGTCAGGGCTAGACATGGCAAGACTGGAGCCAGGGCAAAACCTGCTTGGTGTCAGGAGTGAGCAAGCAGTAAATCAAACCATGCAAGTTGGTGTGGACTCTTGCTTGACAAAAATGGGATCTGCTCAGGCCTAGTGGGCAAAGCAACCTATCTCTGGCAGGTCTTGCAGTTGCTGAGACTGAAAATCCCCGCTTCCCACAGCTGCCTAATTCCCCTCCTCTCTAGGGTTTCCCCCAAGCAATCAGAAACTGCGCCTGTGTGAAGCGAACATCTCCTCTGCCCTCTTCATTCCTCTCCTGGTTCTGCAAGGAGGTTTAGGGGAAAGGGGAACTTGTCACAGCAGGAGGGGGAGAACTCCCTGGTTTCTTCACCAGCCTGACTCATCTCTGCCTCTTGCCCAACCCTCCTCTCCAGCCTTTGCTTCTGCCTCTGATTCTGGACTGCTTTCTGCCACAGATTCTCCCTGCTCACTAAGCCCTGTTACCCATTCAGTTTCCGACACCACTTCTTCCCAGTCTTCTCCCTTGGACCACTCATCCTTGCCCCACCACCAATCCCTGGGCTCTGAGCCTTCTTCCCCCAGCTGGTTCCTCCCACCACTTCTTCACTGGATTGGTTGTAAGGAAAAAGGCAGGCAGGATGGATGAAGGCAGGCTGAAGTTGGTAGGGCAGTACCCCATTCACCTGAACGCAGGGGTGAGGAGCCTTTTCCACCTGGCAGGACAGATCTTTGATTGGGCCAACTCTGATAGGTGGGCAGGACCACTCCTCTGTCAATCATCCGATACCCTAAGGGTGGCAGTCGATGGACAGGTGAGCAGCCAGCGCAGCGACGTCTCCACCTGCCCCACACATGACATTGCCTATAATAATATGGGGCAAGTGGGAGTTCTCTGGGGAAGACAACATGGTGGGCCAGATTTGGCCCACAGGCTGAGGGTTCCTCACCCCTGCTCTAACCGACCTTCACTCTGGCGCTTTTTGGCTTTTGAGACAGAAGAGACCAGACTAAAACATCATGAGAAATAATGGTGGGAAGATGAGGAGGAGCCAAGCTACCCACAGACTTAAACCAGCAAGTCCCTAACCATTTTAAACCCTGCAAAAACAAAACAAAAATGGTTCGCTGCTTGGACCAGACACGTGCTTCAGCTGCAGCTTTTCAGATCAGCCAGCGCTTCCGATCGATTGGTGCTCCAGGATCGATCGCTGTAGCTTTCTTGGGAAAAGGGAAAGATTCGTCAAATGGCTTTTGCTGATTTCTCTGCAGGCTCCCTTCTTATTGCTTTGTCGAAAGCAAATCAGCACAGATTACGGCAAGAGTGAGCGGGGGGAAAGTGGAACGTCAATTCTCTTTAGACCAGCCTTTGCTGGCCTGGAGTCCTCCTGGTGTCCCACCATCTCTAACCATTGGCCATGCTGGCTGGGGCTGATGGGAGATAAATTTGCCTCTAACTGTACTACCAGGGTTTTTGGGGGGGCGGGCGGAAGATAATTTGTTGTTAGGTGTTGCAAATAGCAGGCAACAGCTCAGGGCTTGCTTGCTGCGCTGTGGTGACAGAGTGCCATAATCCGCTTTAATTGTGCAAAAATCTGCTTGAGCTTGAAAACCTCCTGGAAACGGGGACCGACTGGGCTCACCCTTTGGGATGCTGCCTGTCTAACAGTTGCCCAGACATGAAACTACTTGCCGTTGCGTCCTCTGGTACAGAAAAGTATTGACGATTGCTATGCAGGAAGAAAGAAAATGTACACAACATTTAAGAGAACTCAGGAGAGACCGGGTACATTGGTGCCTTACGGCAGAGCTCTATTTCAGATCAAACACGATCAGACCACACCTCAGGTTGCCTCTGGATTTGGAACTCACCTGAGAAAACTGTAGATCACATGCAGACTAGACACATTTAAAGCACATTCGAAGCACATTCTTTTCCTCAAAGAATTCTGGGTACTGTAGTTTGCTAAGAGATGCTGGGAACAGTAGCTCAGGGGGGTGGGGGTTAAACTACAGTGCCCAGAATTCTTTGAGGGAGATAATGAGCTTTAAATGTGCTTTAAAGGTATAGTGTCCCCTTCTTTAGATTGTCCAATTCTGTTACATTCGTTTACTATAGATGTGTTCTACATCCTGCAAGTTTTACGAATTGTACACTCTGCCAAACCATGATTAGCCTGGGGTCTGGAAATTCCTGACCCCTGGTGTAAGGTACATTACCTGTACGCACGACATTTGGTGTATGTGGCATGTGCTCTGTATCATAAAAGCAATTTTTAAAAAAACCCCAGTTATGCCTTAAAAAAACACAACAAGGCTAAAGATGAAACAGCGCCAACATAAACCTGAGTGTTGCGCTGAGATAAAAGACAAGTATTACTCCAAATGTTGTTTTTATATGATATTGTAAGACTGGGCAATGTATACGCAGCACGAACGTCATCCTGGAATACGCTATGCCAGGAACACTGTGAGCACTGTCAATTTCTCAACAAATTTGTTTGCAGTGGAGAACAATTTCTCAAGAAGAACATTCAGACACTAGTGCAGTTGTTCAAATTTTCTGGAACAAATACTCATTAAATACTGGTGGTGAGTCATTTTTCCACCCTGAAACGGTATCCATGTTTGCTGCTATTATTTAGGGAAAGGTTTTTAATATCTTCTGCATATCCAAATTCACTTGATTTGCTCATTTATTCATCTGCTTTAAATATACACTCTTATCAAACTGCAGGTTATTACAATAACCCTGCCAATGTTCTTAGCCATTTACAATTCATCTGTAAATATCCAATAAACCGTTCCCATTCTTTTATAAAAAGTTTGTTATCTTGATTTCTTATTCTTCCAGTAAGTTTCGCCATTTCTGCATATTCTGTAAGTTAGAACCATCAATTCTAGCATGCAGGGGGCTACCGAAATTATATAATTTGGTATCTGAATGATTGGTATTAGTAATTGCATTATAATTTGGCATGTTTATAATGAGGCTATTATTGGATTGTAATTGAAAACTAATAAAAATTATTATCAAAAGAGAGAGAGAGAGAGAAAGGAAGGAAGGAAGGAAGAAAGGCAGGAAGGAAGGCAGGAAGGAAGGAAGGAAGGAAGGAAGGAAAGAAGGAAAGAAAGAAAGAAAGAAAGAAAGAAAGAAAGAAAGAAAGAAAGAAAGAAAGAAAGAAAGCAGGATTGCGTATAATAGCCCCACTACCATCAATTGCACAAATCATCATGGACAAATGATCAAAAGACGCCTGCAGGGTCCCTGCAATCAAAATCTGAGCCCCAAGAGATCAGAAACCAGCCGCCTCAGCAGAGACGAATGCCTCTACCAGAATTTTGCTGCCTAGTAAATATTTAGCCGACTTCTGTTTTCCAAGACTCGGCATTCTTTGACGGCACCTAGAATGATTTGGCACGGACAGCTTTTAGCAAATACCCATTGCGAACTCCACTGCGGCAGCAATCTTGTTGAACCTGGGCTGCTCTGAACCTCCGGGCAAATATGTACCCAAGCAGGAAATGGGGACAGTATTTCACATCCAGAAGCTCTGATTGACGCCTCAGGGCAGCGGCCGAAGGCTACCCTCTGCCCTTAAATGTTGTGCCACAATTTCGGAAGTTTTTCTTCGCCTTTGCAAAGGCAAAAGCCAGCAGGGCTTACCTTAAGTCAAGAGCTCATCTCAGAAGCCTGTTTTGCAGTGAGCAGACTCAACTTGGGAGCACACATAAAGCAATGCAAGTGTTTCTGAACACATGCAGAGTGCATTTTCCTGGGTCATCGCAACCAGGCCTATTCCATCTGGGTTGAGGAGGAAGTGCTTCCAGATCAGAAGGACCAATGTTTAGACCCAGAACCTCTCTCCCTCTTTCATTTATAAGTCACTATTCAGCATCAATAGCCCTAATTGGGAATAATCCACATTTTGGTATCTCTTTAATCCCTGCTGATACAAGTACATCAGAATCATTAAGGAATAACTAGCACAAGTATGTAAACTAGGAGCCAAACCAGAGCCAACAAATAAAGCTTTTTGTGTGTGGATTATAACAAATCAAAGCTACAGGACTGAGTGCTTCTCGGATATTTAAAAGGTTTAATCCGTTTTAGTATTTTAACTTTTGTATGTTTTAAAGAAGAGTTGTGATTTCCCCCCCTTGCTGTTACTGTTTAATCTTTTGTAAACCATTTTAAGGTTTTTGTTTACAATCAAGTGGTGTATAATTTTTTATCAAATAAATGTTTTTTTCCAGGAAGGACATTTTTTCAGTGGGTAATATAGCACCACAACTTGGTTTCTGATTGCTGTATCAAGTGTTCCATATTTAGACTAATTTGCGATATGTTTTGGCAAGCTGTTTGCCTGGTCACCATAAATATGGACACCTCTTTAAGATCCCATACCCAAATTTTGCATCACTGCTCCCGAGATAAAGGAGCAGATTTTCGTCGACATTTGGGTAGAACTGGGTGCCATTTTGAATCAAGATGGCGGACTGAACCTCTCAAAACTACGCTGGTTTTAACAACTTATCACTTATTTTAACCACTGATTTCAAAACTTGGTTGTTTCCTAAGATTCCCAAGCAATGCTGGGTACAAGTCTGCTTTCATATTTCTGCTAGTTTTCTTTGCTACTTTTAAATGAACTGAATAGCATATATTCCTCTCTTCTTCCCTTGGGAAGAAACAAATATAACGAAATATACTGAGGGTTGTTCTTTTTTATTTAAGCAAATATAACATTTTCTCCCCACCTGGCTATTTTTTTACACTTCACCTCTTACAACTGCAGGTGCAAGAATCAAGCATCTGTAGACCTCTCTCAAAGCCAGTGAAATCGAGGTAAGGAATCAATCTGAGGCCATTGTTTCAGCAAGCTGAAAAGCCCTGTTATTAGATATATCCAGGAGTAAATCACAGAAGGTGGAGAGAAGAGGGGGGAAAGTGCATTTTAAGGGCACTTTTGACTGCCACATTTAAGCAGATGTGCCCATTTCACTGTCACCAACTATATTCTTTTCTGTACACAAAGCAAACAGAAGAACATAGGGAGATACCTTGTACCAAATCAGACCATAGTTTGACCGGCAGCAGCTCCTCAGTGTTTTGGGCAGGGGCCGGTTCCAGCCTTACCTGCAGATACAGCCCTTACTTCCAAAGCAACTGTTGTTGTTGTTGTTTAGTTGTGTCCACCTCTTCGTGACCCCATGGACCAGAGCACGCCAGGCACTCCTGTCTTCCACTGCCTCCCGCAGTTTGGTCAAACTCATGCTGGTAGCTTCGAGAACACTGTCCAACCATCTCGTCCTCTGTCGTCCCCTTCTCCTTGTGCCCTCCATCTTTCCCAACATCAGGGTCTTTTCCAGGGAGTCTTCTCTTCTCATGAGGTGGCCAAAGTATTGGAGCCTCAGCTTCAGGATCTGTCCTTTCAGTGAGCACTCAGGGCTGATTTCCTTCAGAATGGAGAGGTTTGATCTTCTTGCAGTCCCTGGGACTCTCAAGAGTCTCCTCCAGCACCATAATTCAAAAGCATCAATTCTTTGGCGATCAGCCTTCTTTATGGTCCAGCTCTCACTTCCATACAACACTACTGGGAAAACCATAGCTTTAACTATACGGACCTTTGCTGGCAAGGTGATGTCTCTGCAAGGTGATGTCAAAGCAACTACTCTATTCCAAACTTAAAAATGGAAACCGTAATGCTGGTGGTCAACAAAAGAGGTTTAGAGACTGTCTCAAGGCAAATCGTAAAAAATGTAGTATAAAGACAGATAACTGGGAAACACTGGCCTGCGAGCGCTCCAGTTGGAGAACAGCCTTTACCAAAGGTGTCATGGGCTTTGAAGACACTCGAACTCAGACGAAAGGGAGAAACACGCTAAGAGGAAGGCACACTTGGCAAATCCACATCATGATCAACTCCCGCCCAGGAACCAATGTCCCCACTATGGAAGGATGTGTGGGTCCAGAATTGGCCTCCACAGTCACTTACGGACTCATTGTTAAAGCCGTGTTTATGGAAGACAATCTTCCTCGGCTACAAGTGATCACCAAAGAAGAAGAAAAGAAGAAGAAGAAGAAGAAGAAGACGACTCACAGTGAGCTAAGTAGGTGATTTTTCTCTTCCCACGGCAGTGTGGTGTAGTGGTTAGAGTGTCAGACTAGGACCCAAGAGACCAGGGTTCGAATCCCCGCTTGGTCACGACGCTCACTGTCGGGGGGAGGGGAAACAGGCGCTGCCTCTCTACCTCACCTACCTCACAGGGTTGTTGTGTAGGGACTAAATGAAGAGGGCAGAGAACCACGGTTGCCACCTCGAGCTCTTTGGAGGAAAAGGTGTGGGGATAAGCTCAGTCAGTAGAGCACAAGACTCAATATCAGGGTCGTGGGTTTGAGCCCCACATTGCGCAAGAGATTCCTGCATTGCAGGGGGTTAGACTAGATCAGGCATAGGCAAACTCAGCCCTCCAGATGTTTTTGGCCTACAACTCTCATGATCCCTAGCTAGAAGGACCAGTGGTCAGGGATGATGGGAATTGTAGTCCCAAAACACTTGGAGGGCTGAGTTTGCCTATGCCTGGACTAGATGGCTCTTGTGGTCCCTCCCAACTAAACAGCTCTATGATATGCAATAAACAAATGAGAAGAAGAAATGAGAATTGCGTGCGGCCTGAAATAAAAATGTGTGTGTGTGTCGGACGACCCCGCAGCCCTGAAATAGCCTGCCTTTGCTTCTGCTGTCGCCCCTATTACGTGTCCAGGAAGCCACAAAAAACGTGCCGGCTTTTCATCCTGGCCTAACCTCAGGGAACCTCTGCACTCCCTCAAGAATGTAATGAGCTCACTGAGCTTAGATCTTCAAGTGCCTCCGTCAATATTGACTGTCCTTTGCACACAACACACACACCCCACCTCTGCTTCTTGCTTTCTTCTTGGATAAGTACTTGAGGAGAAGCCGTTTCCCTGCGTGGCGCCAGGGGTGAAAACAAGCCTTGTTGACTTTTCACCTTCTCAGGCTGAGATTAAGGGCGCGCAATTGTTTGAAGGCAGGTCCATTTTGCACAGGAAACAAAGAGAGATCATTAGCAGGAGGACTGCAGGCAGACAGCAAATTTCCATGTGCCACCCGCCCAAATGCAGCTAGACTCCCATTTCTCTCTCCCCCCCCCAATTTTTTTTATTGATTTTCCAAAATTATAACAAATATGACATACTAAAAAGGAAAAAGAAAAAAGAAGGAAAACATACAAATAAACACATCATCCTTCTAAAATCCGATTTAGTTTTCATTGTTTGACTTCCTCAAATCCCCCCTAACTGAATTCCATTGTATCTCTTTGTAACAGTTTTCCAATACTCTCTTTCTATCAAAATTAACTCCTTCAAATTACTATCTTTAGTTCTTGTCATGATTTCTAGACCCATAACGTTTTACAATTTAATCATTTCTCAAGATGATCAGTGCAGCAGGAGAGTCAGGCTTGGAGCTGCGTTCAGCTCTTAACTTAAAAAAAAAAAAGCTTTATTGATGTTTAAAGCAGAAAGTTTTGGGAACAGCACAGCAGAAAGCCCAATGCAAAACTGCTTACGGTCAGCTTGCATTGCCAGATAGATGATTGTCGGCATCCGTCTGTCTCGAGAGACAGCGGAATGCGCCTCTGTGGGTGAAGAAAAACCGCTGGGAGAATCGCTACACCTGCTTTGTCTGCAGAGACTGGTAACGCGTAACATCTGCCGCCTGCATGGTTTTTGCTGGGTTTTGAAGCAACTTCGCTGGGGTACAAGCCTGAGCTGTGTGCATGGAGGTCCTGGGCTGCCCAGACAACAAGACTGCCCTCTCGGCCCCACTGATGTGGTCCAAAGGAAAGCAGAACAAGACGTTTGGCCCCAGCCTGGCTGCAGGAGTTGCCTGAAGGACGAATGCAAGGCACCACCCAACTGCCTTAGGGACCCCCCCTCCGGATTTGTGCAGGGTTTCCTCCTAAGCCTTTTCTTCTCCCAAAGATTTCCCATAAGGCAGCAAAGGTATGGGATCACATTTTCCCCTGTGTCCTACGGGATCGCTTCTCCCGGTATGCCCCGCGGAGGACCTTAATTCCGGGCTGCAGGAATTTCTGGAAGGAGGCGTACAAGGCGCCATCCAACCATCTTAGGGACTCTTCTCCGGATCTGTGTAGGATTTACTCCAGCAAACTTTTTCAGCAGGGGCCGGTCCACTGCCCCTCAGACCTTGTGGGGGGCCGGACTATATTTTTTGGGGGGAAATATGAACAAATTCCTATGCCCCACAAATAACCCAGAGATTCATTTTAAATAAAAGCACACATTCTACTCATGTGAAAACACCAGGCAGGCCCCACAAATAACCCAGAGGTGCATTTTAAATAAAAGCACACATTCTACTCATGTAAAAACACCAGGCAGGCCCCACAAATAACCCAAAGGTGCATTTTAAATAAAAGCACACATTCTACTCATGTAAAAACACCAGGCAGGCCCCACAAATAACCCAGAGATGCATTTTAAATAAAAGCACACATTCTACTCATGTAAAAACACACTGATTCCCGGACCGTCTGCAGGCCGGATTGAGAAGGCGATTGGGCCGGATCTGGCCCCCGGGCCTTAGTTTGCCTACCCATGGTTTACTCCTTAGCCCTTTTCTATATATTTGCAAACATTCAGCTCAACACATAGACCACAGAAGGTGATGATGTGACAAATTGTGCTCAATGCTGGTCCATGAAAGAGGCATAGGATTACCTGTGCTCTTACCTTCACCCCACCTTCCCGCGTTAAGAGGGAAGTTCTGATAAGGGATTGTAAGCAGTTTCCGCTAAACGCGATTACAACCCAATCCTGGATTTACGTACAAGCCAAACAAGCTATAGCTTAGGGCCTCACTCTCTTGGGCCCCCCCAAAAAATTTAAAGGAAAAAAACAACTGGATGTACATTTCCAAAATATAAGATAAAAAAACAAATAAAATAAAACCTACATACAGCAACAGTGTTTTGTGTTGTGCAGGCTCCTATAATGGGCCCCGCCTGCTGGCCTGCTCCCTAAAATATCACGGGTTTGCTCATTTCTATATATAGGGTGCCGACATTCTGCATGTGCAAATGGCTTTAGATACCTATTAGGTCCATAAATTACCATATAGCACATATTCAACACAAAAAATAGCGACCATTTGTTGTTGACAAAGGACAGCTGGACATAGAAAGGCCCCCACTACCTTCAGTAACTTAGGGCCTCATCAAACCTAAATCCGGCCCTGTTACAACCTTGAACCCTGGTTGGGCAGAGTCTGCGCGGCTCAATTTGCTAGGTCACAGTTGTGGCGCCCTGCGACACCCCCTAGGCTCAGCGCCCAGTGTGGCAGAAGCGGTCGCATCGTCCTAAATCCCACCTCTGCTCAGACAGCGCCTCTCAACCTCGCCTACCTTACAGGGTTGTTCTGAGGATAAAACAGAGGGTGGGGGAACCACTTATGCAGCCTTGAGCTCCTTGGAGAAAACCTAGGGTAAAATGTAATTAACAAATGAATACATAAGTAATCTGCAAAACATTGTTGCAGGAAACCGCCGCCCCCCCCCAATCATTCAGTTTGTACAAACACAACACACACACAACATACGCGACGCCTCTGTTATAAATTCATAGAAAATCACCCGTACATCAGATCTGTACCGTTCCACTTTTATTTTACACCATGAAGGAAGAACTATCAAAGGGGGGAGACTTGACACAAGGCAGGGAGCCCTACCCATTTGGCATGACAACCTTGATGGTCCTACACAGAAGATCATTACACTCACAAGGACCTGCATATGGGAGTGGATTCAGCAGGGACTGAAACAAAGGACAGTGATCAGCTCTTCCCTCTGGGGAGAGGAAACTGCAAACTCCCCTTTGTCCTCTGGAAAGTACTCATGGGGAGGGGGAAAGGAGGAACCGGCCAGGTGACAAGACACTCAGGTTACCACCACAACTCCTCCCTCAACCCCTCCTTTTTGTGACGTGTCAATGATGTAGTCATGATGTAGTTGTGATGTAGTTTTAGGGGTGTAGCATGAGGGATTAAGGACCCCTGACCATTAGGTCCAGTCGTGGCTGACTGGGGTTGCGGCGCGCATCTCGCTTTACCGGCCGAGGGAGCCGGCGTACAGCTTCCGAGTCATGTGGCCAGCATGACTAAGCCGCTTCTGGCGAACCAGAGCAGCGCACGGAAACGCCATTTACCTTCCCGCCGGAGCGGTACCTATTTATCTACTTGCACTTTGACGTGCTTTTGAACTGCTAGGTGGGCAGGAGCAGGGACCGAGCAACGGGAGCTCACCCCGTTGTGGGGATTCGAACTGCCAACCTTCTGATCGGCAAGTCCTAGGCTCTGTGGTTTAGACCACAGCGCCACCAGCATCCCAGTATGAGGGATTAGTAGCTAATAAAAGTTGGGGTCTTCTTTTGTTCAGGGCTTCCATCTCGCTTCGTCTCGCAGTGAGTGGGAGTCCTATCACGACAGTCTTCAATGGAGACCAAGCCTACTGGCTGCTGTTTTGCTCCAATTGTCCTGGTTGGCGTCTTTGCTTTTTGTCCAAGGGAGCCCTCGGATTTCCCCGTTAACAACATGAAAGTCGGTCCCTGCTTTGGAAACACGTGTTGAATTTTTACAAAGGGCAAATTCAAAGGGCAATAATTTGCCTGTGGCCACCGCCTCATGAAGTGGAAAGTACCTTCCAGAACCTGCCTTCTCCACTAGCTTCTCCTCCTATTTCTCGCAGCGTATTTTCCACATCTTAGAACCATCCTTAGAACCACACCGAGTCTGTGTCTACACTGCAGCTTTAAAGAACTCTTCCCCACACCAATTCCCACAAGCAGTCCTGGGAACTATAGTGTGTTAAAGGTGCTGGGAATTGTAGATGTGTACACGGCAGTTCCCAGGATTCTTGGGGTAGGCGAGTTGGGATTTGACAGTAGCTGGGTTGGTGGAGGGTGAGGTTCTTAATCTCAAGGTCTTGAGTTTGAGTCCCACCTCAGACAAACGATTCCTGCATGGCAGGGGGTTGGACTAGCGAGTGCAGGATGCTGCAGCGAGGCTCCTCACGGGGTCCCTGCCATGGGAGCATGTTCACCCAGTGCTTTTCCAGCTGCACTGGCTCCCGGTGGAGTATAGGGTCAGGTTCAAGGTGCTGGTCTTGACCTTTAAAGCCCTTTGTGGCTTAGGGCCCTTGTATTTACGGGACTGCCTCTCCTGTTATGCCCCGCAGAGGACCTTAACCATGAATAACCATAGTTTAGAGGTCCTGGGCCCTAAGGAAGTCACACTATCCTCCACCAGGGCCAGGGCCTTCTCAGTGATGGCTCCGACCTGGTGGAATGCTCTGTCCCAGGAGACTAGGGCCCTTCAGGATTTAACCTCCTTCCGTCGGGCCTGTAAGACAGAGCTATTCCACCTGGCCTTTGATTTGAATTCAGCCTGATCTTTTATTTCCCTTTTCTTCCTTCCCCCTCCCCTTTTATGAAGACCACCCGCTCTGAGACCCCACAGCTAATTCTCCCCTGGCCTCCTCGCTGGCCCAGGTAGGACCAGTTCAGCCAGCTAGCCCTGGGGATTATCTAATTGATTTTTGAATTTTATTGTTATTCATGTTTTTATACTGTATTTCATGCTGCTTTTATAATTACCGTATTTTTTGCACCATAACACTCACTTTTTTCCTCCTAGAAAGTAAGGGGAAATGTCTGTGCGTGTTATGGAGGGTATGCCTATGGGTGGCATGCCTACGGATTTTCCTCCTCTAAAAACTGCGTGCGTGTTATGGTCGGGTGCGTGTTATAGAGCGAAAAATACGGTAAGTGTTTCAAAGTTGTTGTTAGCTGCCCTGAATCTGGTTTTTGAACCAGGAAGGGCGCGGTATAAATAAAAATTTATTTATTATTATTATTATTATTATAATTATTAGATGACTGTCGTGGTCCCTTCCAGCTCTACAATTCTATGTGCAGCCTTACTCGATGCAAAGGTCAGTACGTGAATCAGGCAAAGCTGTGAGTCATTGCATGGCGAGGACTAAAATATATGTAAGTCACTTCAATCATGGGACTAGCTTTCAGCTTCATCTGTGATGACGGGAGGGCAAATGAGCCACGACGGGGAGACCTGCGATCAAGATCTCTGATGCAGATTGTTGGCCTTTAAAGAAAAACTAAAACTAGCCTTTGTATTCGTCTTATTGCGAATCTAGAAAGCGGCACTTTCCTGATCAGAATCGCCAGGCGATGGAAATATATAGAGGGATTACAAATAAGGATTTCCTGGTATAATCAAATCTGGTCTCTAGATATTGCTGAAAAATCAACTCAGAATGAAGGTTTAGTTATAGACAAGTAAAAAAGAATTCCTTTCGAACCACGTGGCAAAATAAATGTTTTATATATTAATGTCAATAACAGTGTTCAGATGCCTCCTGGGAAATATGCCGTTTGGAACTCTTAGGAACTTTTCAGCTTCGAGTGAGGATATCATAAGAAAACCTTGAGAAAGAAACAGAAGAAAGTGGACTGTGATGGACTATGCCAAAATGGCAAGAATGATGGGAAAGATCAGAAATCAGGAAAACCGAATGCTTTGTGAAAGACTGGAATAATTTTGTAACATATTTGAAAGACCACTGTAAACAGCTGAAAATCATTAGGTGGAATACGACAACACTTGTACTGTGGTACCTCGGGTTACAAATGCTTCAGGTTACATACGCTTCAGGTTACAGACTCCGCTAACCCAGAAATATTACCTCGGGTTAAGAACCTTGCTTCAGGATGAGAACAGAAATTGGCCTCTGGTGGCGCAGCGGCAGCAGGAGGCCCCATTAGCTAAAGTGGTGCTTCAGGTTAAGAACAGTTTCAGGTTAAGAACGGACCTCCAGAACGAATTAAGTACTTAACCCGAGGTACCACTGTATAGTGACATGAACTTGGGTAACTATGGATATTTAATAGTTAAGATTGCAGTAAAAGATGCAGAAATGAAAGACTGAATTGGAACCCATGGAGAGATTGAGGGGCAAGGTCTAAGAATATTATAAAAAGCCAAATAAACAAAATTTTAAAAGAAAAAAGAAATAGAAGAAAATGTGTTTGGAAAACCACCTCTCTTTGAAGGAGGCTTTTGGTATTGGCCGCAGCAGAGACCGATTGCAAAATTCAGGGACCAGCAACCTCACACACCTCAAAGTGATAGGCAGGCAGCCAACAAACGTGGCGGCCTTAGTCCGCTCCCCAGAGCCAGCTGGCAGAAACGGTGGCAAGACACTCCATTCGCTAGGCAAACAAAGCTCTTGTGGACCAGGCGCCCCAGCGCCCGCGTTCTTCAGTGATGACTCAAAAAAAGGAGACGGGGTTGCGCCACCCAGCCCTTTCACCAGTCCTTTGGAGAAAGGACTGGCATCTCTGGAAATGCTGCGAAGCACATTGCCGCCCCCGCTCAAATCATGGGAACTGTAGTTTGCCAAGGGGAACCGAAGCTCTGCAAAAGTCCTTTGGACCTATCTCTTCACGCGCCCAGAACACCCTTACTTATTTGTGCAGACACAACCAGAAAGCTCTGTTGTTTTTGGGCAAATCTAATACCTTATTTTATATGAACTATAGTTCCCGGGTTCCATCACGCTCCAGCGAGGCTTTTCCTGAACTGTTTTGGACAACATCTACCATCAGACGCAGTTAGGTCTTTTCTTTCAATAGGACTGGCTGATTGTCTGTGATTCAAAACAGACTTTTTGGGATACACCCTGAACTCCGTGGGGTTTACTGTGTAGAATGAGTTGATTTTAGAATGTATTTCAATTAACTGATTGGGATTTTATGTAAATTGTGTTACTTTTATTGTTGTTAGCCGCTCTGAGCCTGGCTTCGGCTGGGAAGGGCGGGATATAAATAAAATATTATTATTATT